CGGGAATGTGTGCTCATCTGCTCCTTCATGGGCCAGGTGCTGTCTTCAGTCAGCGGTTGGAGGGCGTAGCAGCTGCCCTTGGACCCGGGCTATCGTGTTAGGCTTTATCAGGAAGGATTTAAAAGCAGAGGTTCTACTGTGAGCAGAGCTGAATTTAGATTTAAAGAAAATTTAGGTGCAAAATAAATTGGAGAGCCTGAGGCTTTTGTATTTCCTTTGGAAACATTAACAGGCATTTGGAAGATGATGAGGATTTTTGACAGTGTCATTTGTGATGGAAATACAAAAAATACTAGAAAAGGTCAGGCTGGGTTCCTGACACTTTGGCTCCTTTGGATTGCAAATCTATTGGCTTTTGTATGGGCGTTAAAAGTAAATGGAGCAATGGTTGTGCAACTCTGTTAATATTGTAGAAACCATTAGGCTGTGTATGTAAATAAGTGAATTATATGGCATGTGAATTAGATCTCAACATGGCTCTATTTTTAAAAGATTTTATTGGGGAATTGGGGAAGGGAACAGTGTTGGGAATTAGGGAAGGGGAACATTGTGTTTTCCCAGGACCCATCAGCTCCAAGTCAATTTGTTGTCCCTCAATCTTAGTTGTGGAGGGGACAAGCTCAGCTCCGAGTCCAGTTACCGCTTTCAATCTAGTTGTGGTGCGTGTAGCCCACCATCCCATGCGGGAGTCGAACCGTAAACCTTGTTGTTAGGAGCACGTGCTCTCACCAGCTGAGCCATCCTGTCACCTGTTGGCAGCTCAGTGGCAGCTCAGCTTGGGCGCAGCTCACTGGTCCATGTGGGAATCAAACTGGCAGCCTGACTGATCAGAGCTCGCACTCTAACCAACTGAGCCATCCAACCAGCCGTCAACATAGCTCTTTTAAAAAAGAGAAATGAAGCAGCAAAGATAATATAGGTGCAATCTCAGAAATTCTAAGGAAAAATTCTCCACCCTGTGGATGACTAAGTGGCTTAATTGTCAGGACAAAAAAATGGACCTGTCTGAGTGTCAACTCTCCATAGTTACAGTAGTTAAGAATATTTTAGTAAAAGTGATGTAAACAAGCAGGGTTTCTTTTTCTCTTATACTTCATATGAAAGTTTTCTACACTGATAGTGAAATGGCATTTAAACAGTAGAGTAAGCCCCCAGATTCATTTTGGGTTTGTCTCAAAAATATTTTGTCTCCAAGTATCTTTTCCAAATGGTTTGGATTCAAATGCTCAGTGCACTTTGCCAGAACCTTCCCTCAGGGGAAAAATGCAGTCTAGCCATATTTTTTTAATTCATTTATGCTTGTGTCATTAAAATACTATTTTGTAGCTGTGTGAGATTCAGATGCATTCTGGTCCCTTTCAAGGGCATTTTCAAAGGCTATTTTAAAACTGTGACCTGAGGCGATGTCACAGCTTATGTCAGCTTGTTTTCTGGAGCTATGCACAGACTTTATGACTGAACTTGGGGGAAGCGGCATTACTCCTTTTCTGTTCATGTTCGAGTCATCCTGGCCCTTACAGAGGACATAGCACATGTCCAGACTCAACAATGACCTTTTGTACTGTGAGCTTTCAGGGAGAAAGGACGAGTCACCCCATGGCCTTGAAATTCTGATTTCCAGGGGTTTATGTCACCAAGTTTTATTCACAGACATGTGATCACATCTTACCGGCCTGGGTCCCAGCTCCCTGATCTAGAGGGTAGACTCTAAGCAGAGAAAATAGAAGTTGCAGTCGAGAAGCCCTGCCAGGGCCAGGGGCCAAGTAATCTGTGTGTCCTAAGTGGTGCAGAATTGCTACCAGGATTATGTGTCCCCTGCCAGAGCATCCACAGGATGTGCTGGGTGTTGATTTGATTCTCTTGGAGGCTGATGGTCCCAGTTAGTATAATTTTATGCTTAGCGCTACGGCGGTCCAGGTTGCTTTTTGCCCTCCATGGGTCCCCTGTGGTTAGCAGCCCACACAGGCGCTTCCCTCCCAGGGCCGGCTTCCAGGTGGGCACGAGAGGCAAGAGCAGTGGCCCGCCACCACGGTGCTCCCAGAAAACCACCTGGAGTTGTTCAGCGTCACTTAGCTCTGCCTCGCTCACCACCGAGGGTTACACCAATACTTTACTAGGGGGGCAGAAAGCTAAAAAAGAGCAAAAAAACCACTCAAATTCATAGCATTTAACTTGGGGCTACAAAACGTACATGAAAACATAACCCAACAAAATAAAGATCGATGTGTTAACAGAGAAATGGAACCCTGGGGGGCCAGGGGTCCCTCTCAAGCTCTAGTGCACAACCCAACCGCTGGGGGTGCTGGGTAAGCATGCGTCCCAGGATTCACCCCTGGGGATCTGGACATGGAAGGTCTGAGGTGGGTGCGCAGCATGGGTTCTGACAGCACCTGGGGTCTCTGATCTAGACGGGGTCCAAGGGCCATGTAGGGAGAGGTACTCTGAAAGACAAGTGCGACATCAGAGGGGGTGAGGCTAATCAGGGAAGGGTCCTGCAGGTGAGGTTCTGGCTTGTTCCCTTTGTGCAGGTGAGGGTTGTGGCACTTTATGAAGGAGGCAACGGTTAAAAGTGCAGGGAGAAAGGCTCTCCAAGTGGGAAAAGGCAAAGAAGCAGGATTACATGCAATTATCATGAAACGCATGTATCTAGGCCTTCTATCCCTCCAACTAAATGATTGAATAAAGAAGACATTTTCCAGGTACAGCCATTATACCGAATTTATGCTAATCTCTCTCTCTCTCCTTCATTCCATGCTACAGCTGTGGCAAAGAAAAGGTGAGCCACTGGCCTATGTTACCCTGTGTTCTGTCACTTCCTTGTCGAGCACAAACACCTTTTTGGGTCTTTTTTTTTTACAAAGCCCATGCTCTTGACACCGGCTCAGGCCCTGGTTTTTCTTTTGCTTCCTAGTACTAAGGCCCACGGGTGTGCACATGCACGCACGTGCACACACACGGATACACTATGTATATACGCCTGCTCTGTGAGCTTTCTCTTAGTTTCGTTTGTTAAAGCGCTTTTCCATGAACCAGCTGCTAGGAGAGTGGCGTGGTCCAGTGTTCCGTGCAGCAGGAAACTCTTGATTGGTTCCTTTGTTGCAAAAGGAAGACCCGGAGTCTTGTTTCGCTCAAGATTTCATTATAAGCTTCAAAGGGCATGCCATGATCCAAACGGTCTCTGTTTCATTTTAGTTTTCAGGATGAAAATTTGGTTTTTGAGGACTTTGCTCGCCAAAATCTGAAAGACTCGGGAGACCCCGAGGAGGAGAAGAAAGAGCAGGAGGCCCCTGCGGATGAGTGAAGCGGCCGGCTGAGGACTCCAGGAAACAGGGTTGTAGTTAGCGGCCCGATGAGCAGCGCTCCATTGTTAGCCCGTAGTTATGCTCAACACCAAAGTGTGAGTCTTTTCACAGAAATAAAGTTTGTCTGTTGTGCCTGGTGGGGAGTCAGGCTGACTTGCTGGGGAGGCTGAGTGACACCACGACGCGGAAGCTGTAACCTTTAGGGTTTCTGAGTCTCGGGGAGGGGAGGGCGGCATCTAGAAAGGAGGCCAGCCCCATGGAGCAGCACTGGCCCTTCAAAGTCAGAAGGCGTCCGAAATCTATGTGCTCACCCTTGGGCCCTAGTGCACTCTGGGCTTTCTCCAGGGACCCCATGGAAGGGGTCCCTGGAAACATATGAGGGTGCAGCGTTTCTAATGGCCTGACCAATCCTAGCTCCAGGGCCCCAAAAGAGCCTCCTGAGATCAACTAGGCAGAGGACAAATGTGAGCCAAACACACCTCATCACTGATTCAACTTTGGGGGCCCCAACCCCTGTTTGAACTTCAGGTTGGTGGTTAAGTTTCCATTAAATGCAAGCAACAAAAACAGATCTGGCGAGTTTAAGGGGGAGGAAAGGAATGCGTTGGAAGGAACTTGGAGGGGCTCAGAGAGCTGAATTGAAGAACCTGAGCTGCCGTGCCTGGGGTGGACGGACCCCGCCCTGGAGCTCAGGGTCCCGCCCTCTGGGGCGACCATTCGCCCATTGCTCCTAGCCTCTGCGTCTCTGGTTCCAGTGTGCCGCTGCTGGGTGGGAGAGTCTGACTGACCCAGCTTTGTCAGGGGAGTAGTACCCAGTGGCCAGCGTAGCAGCGCCCAGCCCTAGGAGTCGGTGGTTTCAGAAGAGGAAGTTCCTTGTGAGCCAGACCGACTTCTTGATGAGTGTCTTGATGGAGGTTAGGCTTAGGAGGGCGGGGGAGAGAGTGCTCTGTGTCAGGGAGGAAGGCGAGCTGAGCTGTGGCCAGGGCCTGGTCCTTGGTGGAGTCCCCTTCCTGGCCCCATGGTACCCACCAGATAGACTGAGCGGCTCTCTTGGTGGCCACAGAAGGGCTTGGGAGATGTGTAGTCTCTGGTCCATGCTTCAAGGAGCAGGATACAAGGGGTTTGGAGAGTTCTGCACAGTTCAACCCACTCATAGGAGGTTGGAGGGTGAATGGCGGGGAGGAGAGGGGATTGTGTGTGGGGTGGACAGTTGGGGTCAGGCCTCCAGCACCAGGACCAGTGGCAGAAAGCTGTATAGCTGCGTGGGTTCCACGCACATTAAGGCTGCCACAGCTGGGGTTGTTCCACAGGAGGTCAGGCTGGTTTGTGTCCTGGGAACTGGGATTTGGACTGCAGGCTCCGCTTGGGGACCATGGACGGGACCCCACAGACACAAAGCAACATCTGGTCTCACGTGTGGAGTTTGAGGCATTCTGATATTGACAGAGATGAAGATTCACTTCCAGAGGGATGACGGTGATGATACAGGCGGAAGACTGGGCCCGTGGCCTGTGGGTTTGCAGGTTCAGACAGTTCCTTCATTTTTTTTCTCCAGAACTGAGGGAACAGCACGTGACCACTGCAGCCCACGCACCCCGTCTCAGGATACTCAGGAAAGGGATGTATAGGGCGGCTTGCTGCTCTGGGGACCTGAGGCCTCCCCCTCACCCAGCCAAGCCCAGAGGCCAGCTGTACTTGGCTCCTGCTGGAGATCCGGGGCGAGCCAGGGACCTGGGAGTCTGCTGGGCAGTGCCTGCCTGGCAAGAGGACCAGCCTGTTGGTTCCTGCAGCGTCTGACCCCAGGACATCCTAAGTCAGGGCGGACGTTAATAGTCCTGACCTTTGGAACTGTGTGGGTGGGAAAACTGGAGAGAAGAGCTGGAAAGCCATCCCTGGAGACCAGAGGTCAGAACAGCCCTTGCCCTCCAGGTTATTTTGGTATCAAAACCCTGGACTCTCGGATTTCCAGGTGCTGCCTAGTTTATGGCTTGCAGCTGGCCACCCTGGGAGGGTGTGGGGGTGGGAGCAGGAAGTGAGCAGCCGGCCAGCCCGAACGGGATGTGGAACTTTGCCTTGGCTGTGGCCATGTGCCAGCTGTCGTGCTCCCTGGTGTCAGGAGGCGGGATGTCCCCGAGTAGGTCGTTATGCAGCCCAGGGTTTTCCAGGTAGATGCAGTGGAATAAACAGGGTACAAAGGAGTGGAGGGTGCTGCCTGGGGAAAGTGGTGGCGGCTGGGGACTTGGGACAAAGTTCTGTAACCAGCAAACAAAGGGCTGGAGAAGGAGGGATCCCTGCTATTTCTTGAGTACCTGCCTTGTGATGGCCACTTTCCGTATTACATGTAGTCATTGCAACTACGTTTATCAGTCGGCCTGTCATTCCATTTGTCGGATGAGGAAACCGCAGTTCAGAGAGGTTGTGTACCTTACCTGAGTTCACACAGCTAGACCAGACTTGAACTCTGGCTTCTCTGAGTCTATAACCAGACCTTTGCTCATCTTCTGATGCCGAACAAGTGTAAGAGGGGGAGATTAGCATGTATGAGTCCACAATGACTGCCCTAACATTCTTGGTTTGTTTGTTTTTTTTATGTTCTTTTTTTAAAGTGAAAATTTTATTGAGATCATTATAGACTCACATGCAATTGTAAGATGCAATACAGAGAGATCCTGTAACATCCTGCAAAAACGTAGTGTGCTATCCCAGCCAAGATGTTGACAGTACAATCCACCCATCTTACTCACATTTCCCCAGTTCGACATGTATTCGTGTGTGTGTATTTAGTTCTCTACAATTTAATCACGTATGCAAACAGTTAACTTCTTTTGAGAGTGTCTGTTTTCCTACTCCTTCAACATTTTTCATTGCTTTCTTCCCAGTCTGATGTCACAGCCCTAACGGTTTGTTTTCCTGATCCTTGGGGTGGGGTGGATGGGAAGTTGGGCCTGTTTAGAAATATATGGGGCTGGTTGGGGTGGTCACCATGCCTGGGAGCCAGGGAAACGATGTCACACACAGTGAAGAAATGTCCTGCTCCAAATGTCAGTCATAAGCCTAGTTCAGGGTAGAATAGGATTATTCTCCCCCCCCCCCCCCTTTTCAAGTGCATTGATTTCCTATTCTAATGGGAAGTGGTACTTTTTGACAGGAGGTGCGCTTCCCTGTTGACAAGTCCAGGAGAAGGATTAGGTAGGATGTGAAATGTGTTATTACTGCCACCTTGATGTGCCCTTAAGGTGGGGGTAAACTCAAGGAGCAGCATATTGTTAGAGATGATTCACAGCGTGACTCACCCCATAAAGAGGCCCCGAAGAGAATGTGTCCTCACAGGCCTGCCCCTTCGGGGGAGATCTCCAAGGGAGCCGCACTCTGCAGTCACCATAGAGCGTAAAGGCTTCTTCGCTCATCAGGGAAATATCCCAGAGTATGTTTCTCTGATTTCAGAACATAATATAATTCTGACCAAGCCTAATACACTTTTTAAAAATACACTTTTTATTTTCAAATAGTTTTAGATTTTCAGAAAAGTTGCCAAGATAGCACAGTTCTCCCATAGCCACTTTCCGCTGTTATTCACATCTTACGTTAGGATGGTACGTTTGCCACACTTAATAAATCAGTATGGACACGTTCAAGTAAAGGCCATTCTTCACTCAAATTTCCTTAGTTTTTATCTAATGTCCTTTTTCTGTTCTAGGATCCCACATGACATTTAGTTGTCATGGCTCCTCAGGCTCCTCTTGGCTGTGACAATTTCTAGTCCTTTTTTTCATAATTGCAAATATGCAATGTCCTAGCTGACTCCATGTCCTGGATCAATTAGAAAACGTTTACCTTTCATGGTTATTTTGACTTTGGGAAGAGCCAGAAGTTGCATGGTGCCAGAGCCGGTGAATAAGGTGGGTGAAGACACACTGTAATGTTATTTGACAGAAATTGGCACACCATTCTGGTGTGTGACACGGAGCCTTACCATTGTGATCACAAAATACAGTGAATGCTGCTGCCGAGTGCCACCCAATGAAAAGCAGCACGTCGAACCCTAGTAACAGTGCAAGACAAGTGACAAGTTTCAACTTGTTCTGTGCAGTCAGTCGGGTGAGAGCTATGGATGAAAGAAGGTGTATTTTATTTTTATTTTATTTTATTGGGGGATGGGAACATGCTGGGGAATCGGGGGAAGGGGAACAGACAAGTTGCTGTCCTTTTGTTCTTCAGTCTAGTGGTGGAGGATGTTACTTCACTGGCCCAAGTTGGCACCATCATTGCGCTCTTCCCAGGCGAGGCAGATCAATCACCCGCTTCTGGACGGCCGCTCACGGAGGCTGCTGGCCACTCATGCTGGCTGCTGGCTACACACGGTAGCCCATGGCAACCCACTGCAGCCCAGCTCCAGGTTGAGCTGTTGTTCAGCATCTTAGCTATAGAGGGCAGTGTCACTGTCCCTCATATGTGGGGTCCGAACCGGGGCCCTCTGGCGTCCCAAGCCAGCTCTCAACCAACACGCCACTCAGCCGGCCCGAGAAGGTGTACTTTAAAATGTGCCGTAAATCATCCTCAATCGTGTCAATGCTTTGTGTCACACATCTCTTCTGGTATGGCAATTTCTGTCAAATAAAAACATTACAGTGTTTACATCCACCTTATACACCGGATCTGGCATCATGCGAATTCTGTCTCTTCCCCAAAGTCAAAATGATTCAGGACATCAAGGCAGCCATGACAGCGCAACTGAAGACACTCATGAAAGAGGACTTCCAGAACTGCTTCAGAAGGTGACAAGAACGATGGGATGAGTGTGTTCAAAACGAGGGGGAGTATTTTGAGGAAAGGGATTAATGGTAATGTGTCTTTTACTGTAATAAATTTTTTAATTTAAACGCTTACCGTATTGTCTGATCACATTTGTACTCTCAGTCAGCGACAGTATCTACTTCCCATCTCGCACCTGACTCACGTTCATGCCCTTGGCTTTTTGCTTCTAAAATGATGGGCTCTGGAGCCCAGATGTCCCCTGAGTTTCTAACAGGTATAGACAACAGCACACCCAGGCACCTCAAACGCAGTTTGTTCAAATCCAAGTTCATCTCCTTCATCTCTTGTAGGTCTGCTCATGCTCAGTGGGGCATCACCCCCC